TTTTATAAGGATAAATTGAATAAACATCCAAAATCGAAACTTGATTTGAATACATCTTGCAACCGGTTTGCTCCCAAAGACACTTACTATTTTCAAAAATCTCAATATTAATAGTTTCTTGCATGATTTTCAATTTCTGTGAAAACTTTGACGAATTTATTAAATTGTTTGTTCGTTTGCTGAATTTCGCGCAAAACTATGAGGGTTATCTGTGAAAGTCATCGCTAATCTTGATGTGGGAAGGCAGATAGTCAACACCACCCGACGTCAACTCTTGGACTACGTTTTTACCAATGAGTAATGGGATTGACCGTCACTGAAAGAGCGATCATGTTTGGGGAAGGAATTCGATCCTGCGACTAGCAGGTTGGGAGTCGAGTGCGTTTACCATCAGGCCAATATATTAGACATTTTAGAACATTTTAACATACAAACATAACTTACAGCTGTATCAAGTATTATGACATAAAAATATATTAGCATTACTGAAGAAGCGAAGACTTAAAGTTAAAAAAAATTTCAGTGTGATGAATAAAAATTAACCCGTAATTTGAATAAAACATATCAACAAAGTTCAACGCGATTCCTGAAATAAAATATGTTGCTAGATAGTTAATACATATATATATTCTAAACTGGTTTGGTTTGAAGTTCGAGCAAAGCTACACGAGGGCTATCTGCGCTAGCCGTCCCTAATGTAGCAGTGAAAGACTAGAGGGAAGACAGCTCTTGAGCTATTCTTTTACCAATGAATAGTGGGATTGGATGTCACATTATAACAGCCCCACGGCTGGAAGGACGAGCATGTTTGGTGGGACAGGGATTCGAAACTGCGACTCACAGATTGCGGGTAGAACGCTCTAACCACCTGGCCATGCCAGGCCATTACAAACTGAGAGAAGCTATTCATTACTTGAAGCGAAATATATTTAAGGTACAGAAATTTTCAAATAACAAAATAACAACTGAGAAAACCAAGATAGATGAAAAATCAATATCTTTAAAAAAAAAAGGGATGAAATATTTCAGAGAAAAATGTCAAGATAAGAAGTAGCTACGAAAAGTTTGACTTCATAAAATCCTTAAAATTTTCTAAAAATATCAAAATAACAAGAAAAATATAATAGTGAAGTAACTGTAAATAATGGTATGTTAGTAAGTAAAATATATTTTACAAAGTTAAACGTTTTATTAAAGAACCAAATTTGAAAGTCTTATTTCATAGAGCTTATTTATTTTACAAAGTTACGTCAAGTAATGAAATTATATCTAAAATATCTAACTTGAGAACAAATATACAAAAAGCATAAATGAGTTCAACTCAGAAATATAAAAAAAAAGGTTTTATCCAAACTTCAGCATATATTTTTCCATCTCAACATTAGCAAACTAAAGGCACTATACCTTTAAATTTTACACCTAAATCAGAGATAAGTTAAACTTCTGTAGAGCCAGGGACAACGTATATGCTTGTTTCTCCCTTCTGTCCGTCTACAAGATTTTTAACATTCTTTGATAGGTTTTTTAGGCAGAGTATTCATGGTGAGTAAACAGGAATGGACGACAACTGCCTGTTGTAAAAAACACAAGTGTAGAGGACATTTCAAAATTATTCATTGATTCGTTTTCAGTTGCCGTCTATTCCAGTTTACTCATCAAAAATTTTACCAATTTTGAAAGTCTCCTTAAAGAGGCGGCAGAAAATTGTTTTCTCGTCCATTAATATGGTGGTGGCCGATATCCAATAGATGTAACTTTGTTTAATGAAAGATATATATATATATATACGTGTGCGTTGTTCATGTAGTTTTGATTTAAAATTCCCTTTGACTTGCTTTTTCTTGTGTAATATTTTCTAGCAGTCGTTGACAATGAAATGATGAGAATGACAAATATCCTGCTTTGGAACACAACGCTTCCTGTGGAGCATTTTGCGCCAATTTCTTGATGAAAGGTGATCTTTTGACGCTGTTTCATGGTTAAAAGAGTGGCGAAACTATGTAACAAAAATGCCGCGTTGGAAACAGGAAACAACACACAAGAACGTAGAGCTTTGATTTTTCCTGCGTAAAATCGGAGCATTATCTGCCAACATTCTATCCCGTTTTCCAATTTGTGAACATTATTCTTCAACGTGTATCTCGAAGGAGCCATTGAATACCAACTACTATAAGAAACTGGATATCTAATTCGTCACGCCAAATTAACGCTAGCTAATAGGAATAGTGGAAGAGGCGAGAATAACCGCATACTCAGTTGCACGTGCACTGCCTATCAACACTATTCGAGTAACATGTTAGGGACCATCTAGTACGTATCTATAGAACTGAATCTTCACCAAAGTGTACAACGTAAATCAATTCATTATCAAACCCACATCACCATACTGACCTAAGTATGCTGATTCCATTTACTGATCATCAGTAAATGTTTTGACATATCTGTTATTGCGTTCGCTTTAAAATAGTACAACTTGACTAAAATATAGGCATATATCGAAACACTATAGAACTCGAGATTTTCTGTACCAGTTATTAAAAGTTCAAATACACTTCAGAGTAAAGCTTCAAAAATACTGATGACACAGTTTTATATATCTTAATCATTGTTTTTCATTTAATCCTGCCCCCCAGTGGCACAGCGGTATGTCTGCGGACTTACAACGCTAAAATCCGTGTTTCGATACCCGTGGTGGGTAGAGCACAGATAGCCCATTGTGTAGCGTTGTGCTTAATTACAAACAAACAATCATTTAATCCTAAACGATAAAGAATAATGTATATCATGTCTTTTTTACACAAGTTGAATAATTAACATGATTTTTTCTTATTAGTGACTCATAAAGTATTCATACATATAGCTATAATCATAACTTTAGAATATCACTAGCATGCATGCACATATTATAATAAATTTACAATATAGCTTACGTGTATGTAGCTGTATTAATAACATCAAAATATCAAAACGTTGCATGGGGTTATAATAATTACGTTACAATGTTAGTTACATTACACACAGGTTCATTTCGTAAGTCTTATCACAAAGCCCCCCAGTAGCACAGCGGTATGTCTGCGGACTAACAACGCTAGAATCCGGGTTTCGATACCCGTGGTGGGCAGAGCACAGATAGCCCATTGTGTAGCTTTGTGCTTAACTTAAAAAACAAACAAACAAACAAACTTATCACAAAACTCTACCTATAGTATTGTCAAATAGCTACTTTTAATTCCATTAATATATTTATCCCTTTTTAAAGTTTTTCAAATCGTCCTCTAGAGTATTTTTAAGCGTATTGATTTAATACTGTATAATAATTAGTAACAAAACAGTACAGTGATGTGATTTTGTTTCATTAAAAGTCTCAAGTTTATGCTTTCGTAAATGAAACCATACCAGAAGTCGGTATAACACATTTTTGTTTGGGGAAAGCTAAAGCTTAATAAGTTGAGAATTAATTGAATTTTTTGTTGTTTTTCGCAAGGCTACACAATGGACTAACTGCGCTCTGTCCGCTGCGGGGAATCGAACCCGAAATATTAACGTTTGAAGTCCAAAAATTCATCGGTAACACATCGTAGGACGAAAAAAATTTATGGTATTTATATAAAGGGCAAAACGGAGAAATTAAAATTATCAGCTTTGTTTTTGTTACGAATATCAATATGTTATCTGTTACCGCAGTTTCTGTAAAATAACGATGCAAAGATTCATCAAGATATTTACATAAAGTGTGAAAGACTTTTTGTACATTTTTTAAGCCTCATCATTGAATAAATATTCACCTAAAATTTTGAAAGGTACTTTTTTAAATAATCTAAGTTGCTTGCATTAATAATTTGCATAAAAGTACAACCATTTACACATTTGTATAAACGTTTAAAGCTGCTTCTACAGAAAAAAAAAGGTTGATAAGTGCTCCAATAATAACAATAATAAACGAATATTGGTAAAGTGATGTGCTAAGGAGAGCAAGTTTACATTTTCCAAAAAATATACTGATAAAACGATTGTTCAAGCCAAAAACTAGTTTGTTTGTTACCTAAGTGAGGTATAATCTATTGTATACTTAGTACTGCTTTCATTTATAATATTGGTTATAACAGTTAGTAGATCGAATGTAATGATTTTTTATTTTCATGTATTGTTTAACATTGTACTATTATTATTATTATAGACATTGTATTACATTGGTATTTTAGAATTTACATTTAGGATTAACCTAAATCTCGTAAACTGCTCGAACCTCCTAAGATATTATTGGGTTTACGACCGAAAAATATCGTTAACAGCGAGGTTCCCAACTGATGAAACAATATTATAATCTTTATAAATAGAAACGTAAGAAAAGTATATTTAATTAGCTATAGTGATGGCCAAATCAATTTTCTAAGTTTCGTTCTAAGTACATATCTCACTCTGCTCGGAAGTTATTATTATTATTTAATAAAATGTTTTCAATGTTGCCATGACTGCTTGTTAAATTTTACACAAGAATGTGAAAAAACAACAACAAACAAACTAGACTCGAATTTGGAACTTAAGACACAATATTTCGACGGCCAGCTAAAAGAAAAGTACGACTTTAGTCAGAGTGAGGAAGATATACCTTATCGTTTATTTATGCTTGTAAGCTTTAGAAACGGTCCCCAAAAAAGTATTTTTCGAAGTAAGCTTTGAAGGTATGGAACATCCACAGGTGTCACCAGGTGGCTGGCAGAAAACTTGCCTTTGTGTATTAAGCATTGACGTAAAAATTTACCGTATCCCTAGGCTTTTTTGAGTCTAATTTCTACTGACCTTGCATCCAGCTGATGCTAATACCTCGTTCGTGAACTCCCACTGTTGTGCTTTCTAGGACATCAGAAGTTGCGTGCATCTTTTGGCTCCCTCTCGCGGGAGTTCTTTATGACAAGCAGGGAAATGATCATCAATGTCATTAGAAACGGAAAATGAAACCTGATTCTCCGTAACTCATCTGTCATACAGATCGTTACTCACTTGATGAATAGTGTGGCGGAGTGGCACCTGCGTATGCGTTCTCTAGTGTACTGTTACCAAGGGAGGGGGAAATCAGCCTAGTGGGCGGATTGTCGGGCATTGTCCAAAGGAATATTAGTGGTTGTCTGCGTCACTAGGCCACTGGTACCAATTGAAAAGGAAATAAGTTATCGAAGCGGTTGTGATTTAAAAGAGAGACTGGAGTCGCAATGCTTAGAAGTTCAAAGAAGTTTGTACGAAAGTTTGAGACTGCTTAGTTCTTTCTATCTCTCATTCAGAAACTTTCAACAGTACACTCAACGTTTTTGTTAAGTGGCCGCAGTACGTACATTTCGTTTTAGTTTGCATATTTGAGCAGTATTCTGTGAAAAATTAGCATGTTTGTGTCTTTGGATGTCTTGCCTGCAGTGCTATTATTGAGTCTTCAATTTTTCGTGGCGACCTCTTCTGGTTCCATCAAACTTAAAACCCAAATGAAGATTGCACAATGTCGAGCCAACTGTCTTGACCAGGTATGTGACCAGTTTGACAATAATTGATTTTCAAACTTGCATAAACTGTACATAACAGGGTAACATAATTACAAAGTTGTGTTTAAATAAGAGACAAAGATTTTTTCGTTCTGAAGAACGTTTTTAATAAATTTATTATTGTAGTTTGAGCCCGTTGTTTTGTTTCTCCCTTTTTTTTTTCAAATATACGTTCACTTTAATAGGATTAAGATTTCATCTTAACAATAACATGTAATGCTTTCGAGATGGTTAATTATCACTGAATTCATATACTGAGTGTACATAAAAAATATCTAAAACTTACTGCTATAGATTCAAATATATCGTTCTTACGTTAACTTACTATCGGACTTGAAAACCATATGTTAAAAGTCTGATAACTAAATAATTCAGAAAAAATTATGTAATTGAAATATTAAAAGCATTCCAAGACAACTGGGAATTGTTGATACTTGGACCAAATTAAATAATCATGATGATAAATAGTGAATGTAGTATAAATATTCATACAGCGACTTTTGGCGTATGCTAAAATTTAAATATATTAAATTTTCTTTAGTTTCATCAAAATACAGAGCCACGAAAGTCCTACAATGAATCACCAGACTGCAAAATGGTAAGCACGTGTGTACTTATTCCAAAGGTTAAACATTAATAATTATTCAAAAGTTTCTTCTTAGTATGATGGTGACAATTTTATGTTTATAAACTTACATGGGAGAATAGTTAATCGCACTGGTTGATGGTTGTAGCTTCCTCTTTAATTAAAAAAAAAATCTTAATATACTTCGTGGAGTGTTTAATGTCGTGGACATAATATATATCATAAAGACAGTCCCACAATGAACGTTAATTATTTCGCATCAATGTTTCATAAGGAAATGAATTATTGGCGTCTTTGTTTTGACGTACATTTCCTGGAAGGTATATGTGTGTATATGCGCACATTACGTTTTGGTTAGTTTTTTTTTCGAAGTACAGGATTTTGTTTCGAACTCAACTTTCTTGAGTATTTTGTCTGGTTCAAATAATTTTAATTTCCACCAGTGTAAATCCTTTCTCGCCAGTTTTTATATATGTTTGAAATAATAGTATTCGATATTAATTGAAGTTTTAATACACCTATATTCCATCTAATAACATGCGAGATTAAGCAAAGCTGTTATACGTGTCGTAACATGTGGGATTAAGTTATACATCTTATTATACATAAGGTATTATACATCTGTGTTCCACGTAAGAACGTGCGGGATTAAGCGAAGTTG